CCCCTTCACTCAGAACCACTCAAATTAAGTATTCTTAAAGGGAAAATAACCCTCTCACCAATAGATACTTATTTGGGTACAGGCATAAATTTTCTGTTTTCCCTTATTGAAAATTTGTTGATTTAAATTTTCATTTGTCAGTATTGTGGCACTGTTACTAAGCCATAAGTGGTCTGTAGAAAAATAGGGAGGCTGTTAATATATGGTACCCATTGTGGCACAAGCTTGCTCACTTCATACAATACCGATCAGTTGAAATTGTGTAGTATGTTTAATAGACCACAGCCTGAGAAGGCACAGATACTCTGATAGTTGAGATTGTTTGAGAAAACTTGATTTGACAAGTCTTCTTCCCAAGATTTGCTGACCAAGACTGCAAGACCACCTACCAGTTACAACTAAATTGGCAAAGCGCTCAACTGCCATGCAAATAGTTGAGGGCTTGAGCCTAACACCAGGTTAACTATTGGGGTCTTAACTAACAGAGGTGTACTGGTATGTGCTGTCTTTACAATTCAATCAGAATATGATGTGACAAGACATTCTGAAGTAGTCTTCTCAAATAGGACTAAGACACCGTGGGTTCTAAATTCCGCTAGGAATCACAAATTTAGCCACGAATTTTAAAAAATACACACGAGGAGTAGCAGTGAGAAAGGTTTTGGGTAGGACAAAATGGACTACTGACCGTAGCTTAAGGAGCTGTCATATGCAAACCCTAAATCTCAACCAACATAGCAAGCATTGTAGAGTATCACACTGAGTATATTAGTTTGTCAGCTTTAACATGACTGAGACACTTCTCATACCTCTTAAACAGAGTGACTAAAGTGGGTGACAAGTGTGGCAAGAGCCTGAAATTATAGAGGTTGCATTCATCACCCATTAAATATCCACTGAAGTCAGGAAAGTGTGATGGTATCTAGACAGTCAACGCAAATTAAAAGCACTTAATCCAACGACCAGAAGCTGACCGAATACGGAAATTCTTCCATGCTTTGCATAATTCAAGTGAAAGAGGGAAGGATAGTATGTTGTCGATAGAATAACAAAAACACTTACCGTTTCGTCAGAACGCACGTCGCGCAGTTGTTTTGAAAATGGCCGCCTGGAAATCTCCTCATTTAAAAACCGCTGAATGAAAGAGCGTGGATCTTAAAACTCGTGTGCAGGACCTCCCAAATGTTTCATCGCTATTTACTGGGCGAGGCATGGATAAAAATTCCTCTCCTACGGGCCCGTGATTCATAGTATTGAAAGTGCCTCTCCACCGGTACTTCTGAGAATATACTATCAACACAATCACTAAGAGTATAATCTTAGAGTGTCAAGGGTCTTTCTAGACATAAATGTAGTGAAAGAACCATTGTCGAGAGAAACGAGGAGCGACGTACACACACTTTGGAAACCGTAGCGAAGATTGGAGAAACAATTGCTTGAAGTGGGAGCACAGACAAAGTTCCCTTAAGAGTGTCATAAAATCGCAAATCACAAAAGACCCAGGTGATCAAGTCACGATCAATTTTAGTGTGGCATTTGATTAACAGGGAAGGGAACGTGAGTTTTTATAGCCAATCGTGGAGCGCAGTGAAGTGAAACCTATGCCGTCATGGAGAATACTCTTGCCACTCTACAGAAAATTTGTCTCGTTACGGCCGTCGAGAAGAGAAACCATCATATCACCCTTAAATCCTAACTTTGCTGAGCGTATTCCAACAATCATAACAACAATACTAACAACATTAAAAAAACTTTTATTTCAACAAATTCTCTGCAACGTGGTTGCCAAAACCATCGTTAAATAATCAGTACACAACTGGTAGAGAATCAATAAAAGCAAACCTAACTCCTTTTGATAGTTCTTGGCTCTCGCCGTTTTTCAATCACCAGCTCTTTCGCGAGTTTCCGTTGACCAAAAGACTGAAAAAGGCTAGAACTAGCTCTTTCAAAAACCTACATTCACAAAAAGTGAAGAATTTCGATGCCATAACACGGCAATTAGAAAGTAAAGCATTTTGTAAAAAAATTAAAATCGCGTCTTACCAAACAAATCTTTCGCGATTCCCTAACTTCAAAGGTAATTTAACTTGGACACAGAGGTAAAACGTCGGACATGCGCGAGGGGATCAATTCTGACCCACCGCGCGCCAATTTACAAGGCAAAATTGAGTCTGAAAGCTTGAAAGCATTACAACGTTCGCACATGCGTGGACGTTTGACCGCTCTGTGTTAAACTTGTATCAAAAACAGTCCAAATGTTTATCGACAACTCGTCTCCTTCGTTAGTTCCCAAGGATTTCAGGTCTTTTTTCTGTTCTATCGTCATTCTACCCCTTGGTTTATATCCACCGAAGGTCAGAAAACAAGGAAGGTAGAAATATAAATAGTCCATACAACCAAAACGCCGCGAACACCGGCATCATGAGATCGCCTTTTTCAGACTTGGTTAAAAACGTGATTGCTATTGTGATCCAAATCCATGCAAAACCTTGAGTGTTGGTGCTGAGAAGAGGAGTAGAGAACTTAAGCTGATAAAGGAGAGCAGCTTGACTGGTTAAACGAAGGACAGCCTGAAAGGGAAAAACCAAACGAACGTTTAAACACCCTTGCATAAGAGACGGTAACAATTTTGTTAGAATAATGACTGTAAATATATGAAAATCATATATGTGCACTGCGGTGAAGAAACGAATATAAGCGACCCTCGCAGCTATGAACACTACTGAACTAGTAATTGAAATAAGACCTGAAAAAAATTCAGGCCTGTACGGGATTTGAACCCATGGCCTCTGCGATACCGGTGCAGCGATCTACCAACTGAGCTACCAAGCCAACTGGGAGCTGATCATTATGTTAGACCTGAACTACACTTGTGTAGTAGAATAGATTTCCAGACAAACCCACAGGAAGCGCAAGCTCAACACGCTTTTAATGCCCTAACAATCGCCCCGAATGGGGAGGGCTTAACAATTTCCAATGCTTCCGAATTGACATATTTAACTCTCCCCCTTGGGGTCGTCCAATTTTGTATATCACTCGTAGGATTGCAAACTGAATTGGACTCCACTCAGTCGTACCACCATCATTAATGATATTCTATGTGTGCTTATTCATCCTGTCTACAATGCATCAATTGAAAAGAAAAACCCTGCCACAAACCAATCATAACTAATAATAAGTATTAAAATTTCTTCAATCTGGTTGGTTAAAAGTGGTACAGTTTTCTGGTAATACAATGCACAAGAGAATTAATTCAGTGCAGAAAAGTAAATCAGAGCTAGAACGGGAGAAATTTGAGTACCTGAGCTTCGAACATTTTTTGTAACTTGGAAAAGAACAATGGTTGTTTTGACAGAATATGTTTTTTCCAAAAAAAAAAAATGTGCTTATTTATTCCAAATTGCACTTGAAATAATTTGATTACCCAACAAAGATGAAGTTTTTGTGCGCATTTTTCAAGTACTACAGAAAATCAACAATGCCAAAGTGCTATAAGTTAAGTAGACTCACCAGAAAGAACACACTGAAGATGACATTCACCATTCCTCTCCGTGACACCTCCAGTTCCAGAGCAGGAACCTCACCAAACAACAAGGCAATAAATGGTAGACATACAACACAGCTGAAATTTAACAAATAAAGTAGCTCTGGATGTGAAGCCTGCAACAGATAAGAAATCACAGTCACTAAGTACATTTATTAACCCTTTAAATCCCATGAGTGACCAAGACAGAATTTCTCCTTACAATATC